TGAATACCAAACAGAGGCTTAACATCATTTCAAACACATATTTTTCAATAAAATAATATTACACGTAAATTCAATTTTTTTATTTTTTAACTACACATTCTTCATTATAAAACTATCACAAAATACATTATTTTCAAAAAAAAAAATGGGGCTCAAACAAGAAATTTGTTCAAACTCGTAAATATATTGATACCCTATAGTCGAAAATTTTGTTTTAACTCGATAATTAGTAGGAATCTTAGGGACCCGACTTTTACAATTATTGAAAGGAAAGTTAACACTTTTTAAAGTGCTAACAAATAGTGTAGTCAATTGCCTTTCCCATCAATTGGAGTGGGGAAATAAATATGTCCAACTCCTGTTTTTCAACTTTGCACGTAATATAGAGTTCAATTATACGACACAAACAGACTTAAAAATAGACTAAAAAATAAGGGAGGCATGTCTCAAAACGTGATTGGACAGTTTGAAAAAAAATACTCAAACATGTGCTATCAAGTCGTTTGTTTTTTTATTCCTATCTTTGAACATGTTCAATCATCATTACTGTATAGAGTTTGATGCATGAATTTTTCCCCTTGTACAGTCATTAATGAACTGTAAAATATACAGTCCTAACTGATTAGCGTGGACCCTACTGATTAATTACGTTCAGCATCTTTCTTGATGCATAATAGTGAATAGAATTGGATAGTAGAATAATTGAGATTTTAGTTTCTTTTTATATCATACAATCTTTCTAGTACGATGATTAACTATAAAATATATGCTGGCCGACAAAATGTATAAACATTTTACTTTCGGTAAAATTTGTAGTCAACTGCTTAAACTTTGAAATAGTTACGATATGATTTGTATCGAAATTTGTTTTCAGAATCGTGCTCTTCATTCAGGGGGTCTACCCCTATCAATTATAAGTGATTTCTCATCAAACCCTTTCCTTCCTAGTTTTGCTTTAGTAACACTCAAGGTGACATCCTGAGTGACAAAATTGTCAATTGGCAAATCACAATTGTCCACCAACCAATACAGAATTGTCAAGTGGCAATTCTGCCTTCTATGTATTGTGACCTTTCCTTTCCATCATGTCTGTCACTGAGAGTGGCACTAATATTATAATCTCTTTATCCTTTCGGTGTGACTGCATGTATATGGCTTGGCATGCACAGTGCATCATTGTTTTGAAGTCTTTGGATTTTACGTACATGCTTTAATGTGGATATGCTGTCACAAACTTGATCGGTTGATCCTTGTAGTATATAGTACGATACTCCACTATTTGAAAAGTTTGAACCCCGAACTCCAACCACAACAAAGCAGGGTACAAGAGTTGTCATACTGATGCCTACAAAAAATCTAATTACATACTTTGTAAGAGGCAGGATTCGAACCATCACACTGCGACTGTCAGCTCAGCTAAGACTACTTCACTCATGTCCTTTGTACCATTGAACTATGCCGAGGGGCACGATACTCGACTATTTGATCTCTATTTCTGGGGTCTTAGTTAAATCCGCCTAAGTTGATATGCTTGACTACTCACTCTTTAGTCTTAGTTAAGTCAGTCTCAAGTGAGGACAAGTAAGCACTGTTTTCTATAACAACTTGTATAAAAGCACTTTACAACTTTTGATCTCTGTGCTTGATTGATGAAAAGAGACTAGAGATTTTTCTACTAAAATATTTACAAGTTTTTCAACTACCTATAATGTTCTAAATTGCACCGTCAAAACGATGTCGTCTGCCCCGTTCCTAGCACACTCGGTGCCTGACTATTGTGACACTGCACTTAGCTCTTCAGCAACCTACCTTTAGATCATGTCCTGAACATCTGCAGGTCTACGACTCTTCCTGTTTCGGGATGTGACAATGCATATGCGTTCGTTATCTGTAAATAGATATCAGAGTGGCGTAAAAGATGTGGAAATGAATTAAGTTATATGTACATTCTCTGTTGACGTTATCTTTGACATCCCTTATGTGTCAAAATCTGACAAGTGATTAGTGGCAGCAAACGAATTGAGTGGCTCACCACTCGGCTCTTGAAAAGTCGGCTCGAGCTCATCAAATGACGAGCACGAGCCGAGCAGACTAACTAGCTAGGCGAGCCGAGCGGGGCGAGCGGCTCGTGGACTCGTCTAAGATGAAGGGTTTATTTACATTATTTTTTTAAAAAAGGTTTATCTTAAAAAATATATATATTGACTAGCTCGCCAGCCGAATCTCGGCTCGGCCCATGAGAAGCAAGCTCCCGACCCGACCCGACCCGACCCGAACCGAGCTCGGCCCACGAGTAACGAGCTAAGCAAAAAAAGCTTGACTTGTTATAAACAAGCCACGAGCTTGTGCTCGTCACGAGCCAAGCTCGTGTGCATACGGGCCAAGCCAAGCCTCTACCAATGATGTGAAATATTCTTGTAAAAATCAATGGAGATGATGGATGTCATGTGTTAAAATGTCAAACTTAATGTCAAATAGAATGTACATGTAGCATGATTGATGTTGAGATATTATAAAGATTTGATTTCGTTGAACATTTCGATAGTGGTTGTGTTGTATGAGTAACGCAGAACTGCAACAAATTGGAAATGAAAATAACAAAGAATCAAGTTGAGCAACGACAATAAACATTTTTATTTTATTTAGTAACTGGAAAAGAAAACCAATATGTTCCGATAACTAAAGTTAAAGGTTATGGAATGATTTAATCATATGAACAGCACCAAAAAGGAAACCGCAGCCGCCTTGTGTTAATATACAGAGGATGCCTTCAAGGAATAAGGATTTTACAACAATTACATGATGATTTAGTCACTTCTGACATGTTTGACACGATGGACTAAACAATTTTGAATAGTAGAAAAAAAAAAAAAAACCCAAAGTCTCGTTCTAACACTATTGCGAACCAAACATGAACCAACAAGGCTAACTGCTTGTGTCAAAATTTGTCCATGTTATATTCCATTTTCAGTGACATCATGTCAAGTGTCTAACTAGCTGATGAGTTCCCAGGAGATGGGTCATTTTGCCCTTGACGAACAACTGTCCTTTCACCTGGGGACGCTGTTCAGCAAGTTTTTTCTGCTCTCATATCGCACCTGTGATTGAAGTCCAAACGTGAACAGGTTTCAGTTAAGTCTCTTAACAAAAATTTACTATATATGAAATCACCAACATATTTGAAATACTACTGTAATTAAAATTTGGACATTTAACTAGGTTAGCCGATGACTAAAAACTGAATAAATAAATCAATAAAACCTAAAGTAGGCATAATTTTCCATTTTACTTTCATGTTTAAATCTGCAAGGAAGTAGAGAAGCACAAGTACGTAATGGTACTAAAGAGAAAACAAGTTATATTGAGCAACTATTTCCCATTTCCTCTCAGATATCCTTATATCCAGGTTTAGTTTTCTAACAATGGCTTGTGAAACTTCGGGACAGTAACAAGTGGCAGGGGCGGACCCAGGATTACTGTAACGCCCCGAGTTCCGTGAACCCGGATTGCCACGTCATATTCTTTTGTAACCGATTTAACTAATAAGATTTGCGGAAAATAACTAAATTTCAAATTTCGCATTTATAACGGTAAAAAGCCTCGAAAACAACAAAACTCATTTAATNCGCATTTATAACGGCAAAAAGCCTCGAAAACAACAAAACTCATTTAATTAACTTAAGGAATTTGATTAAATTTTAAATATCGAGTTTTGGAAATACTGAAATAACGAGTACGTTAATAGCGTTCAAATACGAAATTTTTAAATGTAAATTTTTTGGTAGAGAATTTTTAGTTGAGTTAAGTTTTATTCCTTACAATGAAATTTGTCTCCAAGTGATTTTTTTTTTTTTTTTTTGAAACTTTGTTCATTACAATGGAATTTGGTTGAAGGTAGAGATTTGTTAGAATTAGGAAGTGGCCTGAATTCTATTTGGTAAACTATTCGGAATAATATTTGAAGTTGACTTGAGAGTTCTAGTTGCATACTATTTGTGAATTCTAGTTATAATTCAATTTGGGAGTTATGTTGAAATTTCAAAATTTGTGTTGGACTTGAAACATTTGAAGGAGTCCAATTTGCAAAAGAAGAAGAAGAAATCATGTAANTTCTATTTGGTAAACTATTCGGAAT